GTTCTAATGATGAACTTACTAATTTTCAAAGGAAGAAAGAGCTTTGGTGAATTTTGTAGTTGGAGAAAAAAGAGAGTCAAGAAGAAATTTGACAAGGTGAATTTGGCTATCAAAAGCTTGTAAAATAAATGAAATGAGACCTCTATTTATAGGATTTAGGCTTGGAAATTTTGGTGGTTTGGAATTTAGTTTGGAACCAAAATTAGGCTTGGAATTTGAATTTGGAGACAAAATCAAGATCTAGTGGTGATTAGTGAAGATGTATGGTGAGAATCAATTATAATGAGGTAGGGGAATAAAAATGAAGTGATCTAGAATATTCTCATGATGCAACATTTAAATTTGGTGCCAAAAATGCTAAAAAATTTGAGTTTGGCAATTTTTCACAAAAACGCACAGGAAAATCGATTACCCTAATACTGATAATCGATTACCACAGTCAAAATTGTGAAAAATTGCTTTTTGTTGTGCTGTTTTACCTCTGTCTCGATTCTTTTTGCCTGTCAAATAAGGCATGGAAATAAACACATGAGCTTTGGAGTCTCTTGAATAATGGTAAATCAAATCTTAGGAAAGTCTTGATCAGATGATTTTGAATTGTTTGTAGATCAACTTTGACTTTGTTCAGATGAAATTCATTCGAGCTGAGGGACTGATATTTGATATCATTGGTCCAAATTAGTAAAGGAAAAACAAATTTGTTTTTGGACTTTAATTAATGGTTAGTAAACCTAAACATAAACAAATATCAAACAGAGAAAATAACGGTGCCTGGTGATCTCTCAAGAATAAACACACAGAGGAAAACAAGAGAACCAAAGCTTGCGATCTTGTTTGTGGAATGAAATGCAAATGATACGTGGGATCTTAGGGGTAAAAATTCGGGTATTACAATTCAAATATTCAGGGTCAAAATTGGGGTATGACACATAAACCAAATCTTCCTGGATGACGATGATCAGAAGCGTTGAACAGAGTAATCTAGAGGTTAATTATCTTTGTAGAAAACACATTGTCTTACTTGTTTGAGTTAGAGTGTACTAGGTTTAGAGTCTGATGATGTCACATACCATTTTCTCAGAGTCAGAACTTGTTTCTAGTAGCTCCACACTTAACAAAACCATTAGGGTAAAAAAAGTATTCTTTAAGAACCCGTGTATTGTTATCATCAAAATTTAAGTCCAGATGCAGAACCAAATCTTATTCTTACACTTCATAACTTTATTGATTCTAAAATTTAGGTAATTGAATTAGAATTCCTTGCGATACGACTCGAGTGTCGCTTTCCTAAACTATATTTTTTATTAACTCATTTTGACCCATGTGAGACAGCGTATCAGAACTGGTGCACAAGTTTCCTCACCGGCTCTTAATAGATGGTGATGGAGGTATGAAGTAGACCCATATACCATTGGAGGGTGGCGTCCCTTGTAACGCCCCAAAATAATTAGAATATTTATTTAATTCATTTATTGTAAATATTCATGATTTTCGGTGAATTTTGGTGAAATATTTTGATGTCTGATGATTTGTGTTGGGAGATATTGTTGATGTTAAGAGGGTGTTGAGGATAATTAGAAGTATATGCTTTATTAGAATTATTTTGATAATAATAATAGTGGATAATGTGAATATCTTATTATTATTATTATTTTAAATAAATAATTGGAACAGTAAAGGCAAGATGGTAAAGTTGGGTGAAATGAGTGAGGATAAAGTTGGGAAATTATGTTAAGGGTCTAAGGGGTAAGAGTGACATAAAGGAAAATAGGGAAGTGAGGAATTCATTATGAACAATTGTGTTTTGAAGAGTGACTCTGAGGAAAGGAAGAGGAAGAAGCTAGGCCTTAGAGCAATTTCGATAAAACTCAAGAGGAAGATCATAATCGAGTTAAAGGTATGGGGAGTATCGCTTGTCATTATAATTGATATAAGGTTAGATGTATGTAGGTAGTTGGGGTTTTAGGGGATTTTGGAGTTTTAGGAGATTATGACGAGTTTTGTGATTTAGGGATGTGTAGAATGAAGGGAAATGATGTATATGTTGTCTGGTATGATGTATTGTTGTTGTAGTGTTGATTTAATTTTAATTTATGTGTATTTTTGGACGGAATGATATTGGAAATCGTAAGAAATTTGGCTTTGAACTGGTGCAGAATCGCAATTGAGAAGTTGTAGGTTGGCATGATTCACTGGGTGAAATCCCGTGTCGTCGGGCGAAGTAATTTTGCCCCAGCCTCGCTAGGCGAAAACAGAGGCGAGCGAAGGGTAAAAAATGGGTGCTACTGGAAATTTTATGGGGGAGGGCTTTCGCCCCTGCTTCGCCAGACGAAACCCAGGCGAGCGAGTTGCTTCGTCGGGCAAGCACCAGGCGAGCAGGAACAAATGTTTCTTTTCTTTTCTTTTTTTCTTTTGTGTTGTTTTGTGTCTTGTTGTTCGTATGCCTTTATTAATTGATGTGTTGTATTTTGATGAGTATAACATGTTGATTTGTGATGTAACATGGAGACTTGCGATGCATAATGATGATATGATTACCATCATGTTTTTGATGAACTTTCATGAATGATGATGCAACTTGACGATCCTATAATTATGTTGATTATGATGTAGTGCATCATGCATTCATAGCATAGTAGGACTTCGGTCCAGTGTTGTTGATAGGACTTCGGTCCAGTGTTGACTTCAATCCCATTGTGTGGACTGAGGTGTTTATGTTGTACTCCGGTTCTTGTGTAGAATCGATGCTATTGATGGGGATCTTTGGAGGGTGATGGCCAAGTGTCCACTGACATGTTGAATTGGTACCACATGCATGTGTCTATGTTGTTGCATTTCATGTTATGTGACATTGCATCTATGTGAATAACTATTATTATTGACGAGGTGATTTTAAAATGAAGTGTGATGAGGTTGTGACCTAAGTGATGTTTTGGTGATGATTTGTTGATTTGATGACTTTATGAATGAAGATGTATATATGATACTATGATATGAAGGTCTTAGTATAATACTTGGTAAATGATGATGCATGGATTTCATGATGATGTTGTTTTTGTATGATGAATTTTATCTTAATATATTTTATCTTTATATCTTGTATAATGACTTGTGATTACTCACCCTGCTTGTTTGAATGTTGCCTCCACGTGGGTAATGTGCAAGTAATCAGGATTAGCTCTTGGTGCATGAAGGTTTAGCTTCTGGAGTGTTTAGTTTTAATTTTGTTGAACTTAGAAAGTGTCTTGCTCTGATATGTAACATCGGGTCGGGACGATATTGAGTTGAAATTTTATGTTGATTTTATAGACTTGACGTCATTATGAATTTGGCTATTTTGACGGTTTTTGAGATTATAATTTTTCCGCTGCAATGTAGTTCTATGTGTTTTGAACTTTATTGATGATAAAACCTGTGTTACAGAGCTGGGCTTTATTTGGATGTTTTGACGAAATGTGGCACCCTTGTGGTGATGTACTATGATATAATTGTTAATAATTATCGTGAATGTTCTTTGGCTCCCCGATGATGGCAATTTGTGTATTGATGAATGTGACATGTTCATAGGGATCATTGCACCCGTCAAACTTGACCAGAAGATGAGGTTTAAACCCCTCGGGGACAGCTGCTTCCCATATCTCGTCAGAGAGTGGTTAGGGATCCAACACCTCTATCTCCTCCAGAGGATTAAATTCTTGTTGGCGATGTCTGATGTTGTGGACGTTGTCCTACAATGTCTAATTCTGACGGCGTAATTCGTCTGGTGGCACGCATCTCCACCAGGGCATCAACATCACCGCTATCCTAGGTGCCATTTGGTGTAGGGGATAAAGTTATCCTATTAACCATGGGCGTAGGCCGCTAGGTGTATGAGTGGAGGGTATCGACGAATATGGTGATTACAATGAAGAAGATGTGACCAATGTTAGTTTTACCAGGCCCCACGATGAGTGTCACTGTACTGGTTAATAAGTATAGATGTGCGTGTTACCCCTACAAGGGCAGAGACACTCTGAGGCATTTGTAGGTATATAACAATTTGTGGTGGTTAGAGCTTGTCCACAACGGTGAGAAACCCTGTATGGTGGTTTTACGATGGCTTTAGAGAGACTGCTCACGTAAGGTGAGAGACTCTGTATATCACTGTAGTGTTTAAGTATGTGTGTGTGAGTTATGATATGTCCCATCTACTGCTAGAGGAGAATTATTTATAGAGGCATTTGGGCCTAGGATTTAGGAAACCTTTAAAGGAATCAATCGCTCCCCTTGACTAAGGGAGGTTGTTGACTAACTATTTCTTATGGAGTTGTGATATGACTCTCATTCATGACTAACTGGAAACAACGATGTCTTACACATCATCTGCCCGATGGGCGAGCACTTTCTATTATTTGTGGATGTCGCTTAAGCAACATCATCATAGGCGAGAGTCTTAAAATTGCCCTTGTTTGAGACTCTCACAAATATAACACTACAATATTAATTATGGATTGTTTTGTTAGAGTTACGATTTGTTTTGCTCAATCTTTTTTAATATAGATGTGTAAAAATTAACTATTTTCAATTATATTAATCTTTTTTATATAGAATTTTGTAAATAAATTTCCTATTTTAATAAATAAAGTTTTAAACTTTAAAAGGAATGCTAATAATTTTGACATTATTTTCATTATTTACTTTCTCATTTAGATATATTTAATTTAGAAATTCGTTATAACCTCCAGATTTTAAATGATTTATTAGAGGGATGTGGTGTACCGTACGTAACACCAATCTATTATGATGAATTTGTAATAAAACACGCGAGTCTTACTTCAACTCCAATTTCCAATTAACACCATTCCACATTCTAATCCCAATACTAATTATAATTAATCTCCACTTATTAACACTAATCCGATCCCTTTTTTTCGAAATCCATTCAAATACAACAAAAATCAAACACAGCACAGACACAATCACAAACACAAACACAAACACAACCATCGTATCATCTTACAATGTCAACGACAACCAGTACCACGGAATCGCGAGTGCACGACGCTGCACGGAGCCGTTTGGCTACGCTCACAGCTCACTTGCTTCCGTCTTCCACAACCACCGCCGAGGGACTCATCCAGCCTCTCCATCTTTTGGCTTCCTCCGGGATCTCTCCGCCGCCGAATGTTAAAGGGAGTCTCACCGTTGTTGATGAACGGACCGGGAAGAAGTATAGTATTGAGGTCTCTCCCGATGGCACCGTCAAAGCCAATGATTTCAAGAAGGTAATGATAACTGGGTCATGATCTATTGCATATTGCTGATTAACTGTTTGTTTGTTTGTCTGTTAGAGTATGAGAAATTTGTGCTGTGTTGATGAATTTTCAATTGTAGATTTGGCACTCCAAATGGTATTTGATTTGTTGAATTGGTTGGGTCTTGTTCAATTTTGATCCTTTTTGTTTGATTTAATTGTATGATTGTTTAGCTTACAATAAGAAACTTTAGATGTATATAATGAAATCATAGGTCGGTTGATTCATAGCGGTAAAAATTATCTATGATTCTTATGCATCTCAAGTATTTTCATATTTATGTATAAATTTACAGAGATGATCTTTATAGAATATGTATTTGATGAAACGCGATTGAGCTGTATAACACTATTCAATGTAATTTGATTTTTCCTCTTATTCATTTGTTATGTTATGTGGTTTTCTAATTTTTGGTTTACAGATATCAACAGGGAAGAATGACAAGGGACTTAAGCTTTATGACCCTGGATATTTAAACACTGCTCCTGTGCGTTCGACAATTTCTTATATTGATGGTGATGAGGGAATCCTTAGATATAGAGGATACCCGATTGAGGAGTTGGCTGAGAAAAGCACCTTTCCGGAAGTGGCATATCTCATATGTGAGTAATTTTCGAAAAATTACTTCCATGTTTTTGAAATTGTTCAAATAAATATAGCTAGTATTTAGTAAAAGGAGATGCATGTAATAACATTAAGATTGTAAATTTGAGACGCGCAGTTTGCCCATTTTTCATCAACTTATTTTAACAAGTGAGCCTTTAGTACTGAAAATGGTGTTGCTTGAAATAACTACTGACTCAAACAGTTTGCCGATTTGAGAACTAGCATATATTGATACTTAACAAATGAGACACAGCTATGGATAACTATTTTAAATTGGTTATACTAAATAATTAAGTGCAATATAATAATAAAGAGTAGAAAATATTGAGGCTGAAACTCCCAAGTATAGTATAATTATGAGTTAATATATTTTGGGATCAATTATTTATGGCCTAAACATGACCCTGCTTTTATAATCTTTGTTTATGATATGTGGGTCAATATTTTTTCCTACCATGTACTAGCTTAGATGCAAATTTTCATGTGAGATAAGACTAAGGTTTATGCATGTCTTTAAGATTTTCTAATTCCATCATTTTAGTGTATGGAAACTTGCCTTCTGCACGTCAGTTACAGGATTGGGAGTTTGCTGTATCTCAGCATTCAGCCGTACCTCAAGGAGTTTTGGTGAGCTTTTCTGTTATCAGATAACTTTGTTATTTCATCTAACTGGCAAGTTGATTAATGTTATGTAACCTGTACAAAGCTCCGTTTATCCACTACTTTATTTAGAAGTATACCTGTATTTTCAGCGGTTCTAAATAGCAGAGCAATAGCATTGTAGCATAACGAAATTTCACAAATCACTATGGTTCCGCGATATGCTATTTAGTACAGCATGTTGGCAAATAGAGGCGCTATATAGTTATATTGTTTAGCAGTATTTGAACAAACCACTATGTTCCACGATCGGCAATTGATAATATTGGTTTATTTTATCTAACTCAGTGGTTACATAACATTTTTTTTTTGTAGGACCTCATACAATCAATGCCTCAAGATGCACATCCTATGGGTGTTCTTGTTAACGCTCTAAGTGCTTTATCTGTTTATCATCCTGATGCAAATCCTGCTCTCAGAGTAAGTAACATAAACTGCTATCAAGATAAAGTAACTCATCTTTTGAGCTGTTCAGCATTGATGCAAATGTATAATGATAACATATTGTGGAACTCTGCTTACCCTACTTTTGTGATGGAAATATATTTGCAACTTTATTTTATAGAACTTCTTACTCCTATTTTTCCTATTTATGCATTTTGACAATGTTCTAGTATATGTTTATTTTGGCTTGTGTTGATACAGCAATCAGCTTTGATTCTGTTACTTAAAATTTAAGACACTTAGCTATGAAAGGATTTTGAATAAAATTCTCGTGTATTCTGCACGTGTCTGGATATATTATACAACTCAATTATTTACTCTAAGAGATTGTAAAGTATGATTTGTTTTTATGGTTCATGGCTACATTATATACCATAAGAAATTTCTACCTTTGTGTTGTAAACTTGGTACATCCAGTCTTATATTTGTTGATTCTAACTTCCTGCATCTCTATTAGATTTGGCGATTTTCATTATTTGATTAATTATTCGTAAGGGATGTTACTTTTTCTAATGTGTTAGTTCGATATACATGTGGGGGCTGAACAGAACTTTATTTCTTATTGGGATTCAACATTTTGCCTCTTTATTATTTGATTCACATTTTATCTTTATTTTAGAAATTTTCTTATATTTTAATATAGGGTCTTGATATCTACAACTCAAAACAAGTACGAGACAAACAAATAGTGCGGGTCATTGGAAAGGTTTGCTATTCAGTTCTATGAATTCCTTAATCTTCTTCTGTCCATATGCTATATGTCATTCAATTATTGTGCTTCTTATACTGCTTAAACACAACATTCAGAATTTTTGTGCAATGTTCATTCAATTCTATGATTATTTGCAGATAACAACAATTGCTGCTGCGATTAATCTTAGACTCGCAGGAAGGCCCCCTGTGCTTCCATCCAACAAACTGTCTTACACAGAGAACTTCCTTTACATGCTTGATTCTCTGTATGTATTTTCAAAAGTAACATGATATACTTACTAAAAAAACAAAGTTTATGATTCAATATTTGATGATCGAAACGAATAGTAACAGAATACTTTTGATTTTGTTGAAATGTTGTAATTGATTGTTACAATGTTGTCAAATAGTGCTGTACCATAGCAGAATTTGAAGAAATTACTATTGTTCCACGATCCGCTATATAATTGTATTCAGATTCAAGTATTTTTATCAGCAGAGTCTAACTCATTAATTCTCCACTATACGTGTTTTCAGTGGCAATCCCTCATATAAACCTAATCCTCGTCTAACTCGTGCACTGGACATCATCTTCATCCTGCATGCTGAGCATGAAATGAATTGCTCTACATCTACAGTACGTCACCTTGCATCAAGGTAGATATCTCACTACTGTGCTGCTAATAAACCATACAGAGTCGGAAACAGTGTGGTGTGAATAGCAATTTTCTAAGAAAAATAAAGCCGCCTATTATATGTTTCTTTAACTATAATCTTATTTGCAGTGGTGTTGATGTATACACTGCTATTGCTGGTGGTGTTGGAGCTCTATATGGACCTCTTCATGGTGGAGCTAATGAGGTAATATAAATGGTTCAAGCTATGATTAATCTTTTCTATTGCATATTTAAATGCGGAAAATAAGCAAAAGCAGAATACTCATGTGTGACAATACTAATTTGACCTTTGATTATACAGGCTGTCCTCAAAATGCTGAGTGAAATTGGAAATGTTGATAATATTCCAGAGTTCATTGATGGTGTTAAAGCAAGGTTTATATTACCTTTTACATCTTCTGGGTCTTGTGTTTTTCCTATCTATAAAGAATGCTGATGTGCTGATGATTTTCTCTTTTTCATCTCCTGCTTTTTTTCGTAGTTTTCTTTCATATTATTATTTGTTGTGTTTTCTCTAGGAAACGAAAGATGAGTGGTTTTGGACATCGTGTGTACAAAAACTATGATCCTAGAGCAAAGGTCTTAAAGAAATTGACAGAGGAAGTGTTTTCCATTGTTGGCCGGGATCCTCTGATAGAGGTGCTTATCCATTTTGTATTCAATATGAAAACACAATTTCAATTTTTTTCTTCTATATGTATTTTTCTCAAGACTTGTCAATAATTAGCTGATTCATAAAATATCAACTCGGTGCAATTTATTAAGTTTAGAATTGAAATATTTATATGGCATTATTTGATTATTTAGGTTGCTGTTGCCTTGGAGAAGGTTGCTCTGTCTGATGAGTATTTTATCAAGAGGAAGCTATATCCAAATGTTGACTTCTACTCTGGATTAATATATCGGTAAATCCATTACTACGTCTTGTTTTCTAACTCGGCAGCATAAGATATGTCACTCAGCACAAAATATTTGAAAAAGATTGATCTGATGGGTTTATGCAAAATCTCAGGGCTATGGGATTTCCACCCGAATTTTTCACTATTTTATTTGCTATCCCTCGTATGGCTGGATACTTATCACATTGGCGGGAGTCCTTGGATGATCCTGATACAAAGATTATGAGACCTCAACAGGTTATTTCTTTTCGTTAAATTATATCTCGTGTAATGATCTCTGTAGCACCGACACCTTTGAAGAAAAGTGTGTCAGTGTCCATGTTGGTCCGACACCAGCACTTGTGATTATGTTCAATTTATTCATTCTTAAAAATTATTACCATGTATCAACATGACAGTGTCAGTATGTATCGTGTCCGATGTCTGTTTCTTTCCTTCATAGGTTATGATCTCTTCTATTTTGAAAATATTGGCATGATCATTATTGGCTGATCTGTGCTGATATGCCTGTATCTGCTATGTACCATCTCATCTCTGTATCATGGAAAACGATTTGCTAACTTTACAGATTCAAGGCTGAATTTTATCATCCTTAAAGTAATGAAAATTTACATTAATCCAATCTATTTCGTGTTCTAGGTATATGTTGGAGAATGGCTGCGACATTATGCACCAAGCAAGGAAAGATCTGTGTCAACTGACAGTAATACGGACAAGCTTGGTCAGTTATCTGTATCGAATGCGTCAAAGAGGCGACTAGCTGGATCTGGGATTTAAGCCTACAGACTCAACTTGAACTTACAAGCGGGTTTTCAAGAGATAATGAATAATTATGAATAAAGTCAAGAGTTAAAGAAAGTAAATGTTACTATTTATCTATGTTGCTTTTAATCACCTAAAATTCATTTAGATATAACTAGGAAGTGGCAAAACTTTCCTAAAGTAGCATGTCACTGCATAAATAATGTAAGCTGGTGGAAGATTTGCAGTTCCAAGCTTTCAGCTTTAACTTTCAACTATGCTAGTAGTACATGTAATTTTTATAATTGGAACTTAACATTTATGAATATAAAAAATAAATAAACCAATATTTGTTTGTCTGTATGTGTGAGAGAGAGGGATATACCAGTGCTTTTAAGGAGCTCTCAAATTTTTGCAAGAGTGAATTTGCTCTTGATTCTTACAAGTAGAAGCTTGAGTTTTGAGGTGAAATCTTTTTTACCGATGAATTTATACAAATTAGTTTGCACTACTTTTGTTCTATTTAACGTTATTATTCATAAAAATAACACTTCATTTATGAATATAAAAAAATAAATAAACCAATATTTGTTTGTCAAAATAACACTTCATTTAGATTTTAGTTTTCTTATTCATTTCTATAACGCAAATTTTAATAAATTATACTTTGGATAATCCAATTATTCTTTTTTTATTACAACAAGAAAAAATTAATAAAATTAAGTGAGATGTTTTGTTTCTTGTACATTTAAAACTGGAGAGTATATGTATTTGATATTAAAAATTAAAATTCAATATTGGTCTATAATGTATATGCAACAGGTATCCAAATGAAATAACTATTTTCAGAAGAAAAAGAAAACCAAATAAAATTCAGTCATATGTTCATATTCATATCACCTTAAAATAATACTACTGAGTAAAAAATATATATAAATAGAACTTGGCAATTATTATAAGCATGTATTGTGAATTGTGTATTACATAGTGAAATAACATCAAGTCACTTTTAATCGAACGGTTAAAAAGTAAAGGAGGATCAACAAGCTTGTAATTCAACGGTTAAAAAGTGATAGATCAACAACATAATATAAATGAAAAAAAAACAGATTTATCAGAGCCTGGTTTCGATCCAGGGACCTGTGGGTTATGGGCCCACCACGCTTCCGCTGCGCCACTCTGATTTATTGGTTTATATCACATTTAAATATTATTTAATACATAGTTATTTCATAGAAATGCATTGATTTGCGTTTTTGTTTTTTATGAATGAGTGTTGAATACACTTTGCATCTCAAGCATAACTGTTAAGTATTTAGGTGTAATGATAGTTTAAATTAGTTCAAAAACTTTTTTATGACTGTTTTGAAAATTATTATACAAGCATTATATTTGGAATTAGTTTTATTTCCCTAAAAAGTAAGCTAATATTTTCTTCGAAGAACTCCGCACCCCAACATAATGTACATTTAGCTTAATAAAAAAAAAACAAATAATTAAGCATAAGTTTTTTTATATTTTGATAGAAATAGAATTAATTTTGAGTTGGAGATGAAAGAATTTGGATTAGAGATTCTAGTTAAGGAAAATATTTATATAAAAAAATTAAAATAACTTATTTATGAAAAATTATTAAAATGACTATAATTTATTAAGTATTTTGTAGGTTAGAAAATTAAAATTCCTCTCCCACACGATACAACGAAAAATATAAATTTATTTCTTGACAATAATTTTAAAATAATGTTAAATTAATTATTATTAATTTTTTTTAAATTTTAAGTCTGAACACGAAATCTTTAAAAATTACAAATCAATGTGATAAAATCTTACATTGGCTTGATTGTCCACTGTTTAATGCGATCCTTTTTTTTAATACAAGCTTGAAACTCGTTATGTATAGGAAAGCTAACCTAAGTATAGCAAAACTAACTTATAACTTATGTATTGTAAATTAATCTATAATAATATTAAAAATTTACAAATTGATGCTTTTAAGTTTCAAAAATTATAAATTGATTCTTATTTTTTAAATTTGATTCTAAGCTTATAAAATTAGCTCAAAAATTTAATAATAAATCATTTTAATGCTTTATTAAAATAAAAATAAATTTAAATCAAATGCTTTTTAACATGGTAGATCGATCAACTCTATTGTGAGAGGTGAGTATCAGATGCCCATCTATTTTTTATGGGTCGAGTTTCTTTTTGGCCAAGCATCGGGGTTATACCCTGGGGATGGACATATTGTGTCAACCACTAGAGTGCAACAAGGTGGCCCGCCAGGACCACTCCTTTTTGTTTTTGTGTTACACCCACTCACTCATCGGGTCAAAAACAATTGTGAGCTTTTTCTTCATATCTGGTATCTTGATGATGAAACTTGTTTCATGTCGGCCAAAGGCCCAAGGACACGTTTCGGACTGGCCAAAGGCCCAATAATACAAAGCCCACTTATTCAACCTTCTTCATTAAGCCCAAGATATAAATACCTTCACAAAGGGTTTTCAGGTACATAATCTCTAATCTCCACTCTCACTACTATTATTTTGAACCCTAAACTGATTTGGACATTGGAGTGTTAACTATGCAGATACACCCCCTTTGGTTTGTCGTATCGGAGAACAGCAACGCCGAATCAAGATTGACGTGGATTAACTGCATTGATTCAAGATCAACATCTCCGATCCACGAAGCACCGTGGTCGCAACCTCCGATCCACGGTGCCGTATCACTAAACACGCTTAGGAAGTTCTACTTTGCCGTAGTTTTTGCAATCCTTCCTATTTATGGTTCCACAACGGAATAATGGTGTCATATTTGGAAATCGACTTCCGATTCCTACAATTTCTAACTGGTAAAGTTCGATTTGAGTTTAGGTTGGACAATAATTTTGATCTCTAACTATGACTGAAACTCACATATGAACTTATAGGAATCTAGATTCAAGTAAAGCTCAAGTTCGAGTAATAATATCAGGAATTATGTCCAGGAGGAACTTGACCAGTCCCAACCGAATATGTCATCATCGTAAAAAAACCTACTAGACACATCACTAACATGTAGAATGAAGTTATAAAGTTGAATGATGGTCGGTGCACGACGGCAGGAAAATCTTGGGACCAAGCCGCGTTCTTGTCACTAAACATGCAAGCCACAAGTCAAGCGTGTTTCGATGGAAGGGCAAGACACGCAGCCTTAGAAATAACTACTAAAGATGAGAAATAAAGTGAAGCTAAACTCCCCGACTGGTTCTGGGTAGAGCGAAGTTGGGGTCTGCAGGACCTTTAATTTGATTGGTGGAGAATATTTCTACGACAACAGAAGGGGAGGAACAAGTCGGGGTGCATCATCCCTAGTCTTCCAGATCACCTGAGTATCTGGGACATCCCGAAGAAGATCTAAGTCCAAAGGAGTCATTCCACTTTGACCCCAAGAAGCTGGATCGAGCACACTTATCATATGATGACTATCTCTCAAGTCAAAGACCCAGTCCTCCAAGTCAACCAACCATCAAGCCATCCGAACAACACATTTGAGGGTGAGAGATTGGTATACACTTGCGAATGCACGTGATAACGATTCGAGGTACAACCAATGTAGTTGACAACAAAATCAAAGTTCAAGGGTGATGTCAGAGATACTTTGTACGTTTGACCAAAGCAATTAAATCCCCACAGCACCGAGCACGCCTCCCGATTCCAGAGATGCTGTCAGAGACGCTTTGCATGTCCAACCAAATCAATCAAATCCCCACAGCGTCTTGTGTGCCTTCAAAGTTCAAGGGTGATGTCAGATACGATTTATAAGTCTGACCAAAGCAATCAAATCCCCTCAGCGCTGAGTGTGCCTCTAGATTCCATGGGTGCTGTCAGATACGCTTTCCATGTCTGTCCAAAGCAATCAAGATGGTTGGAATTCCTGAAGGATTATGACTTTGGCTTGAATTATATTTATAGTTCTAAATTCCTTATGGCTTTATGGTTCTTTATGGCTAGAATTCCTGAAGCAATTAAATCCCCTCAGCTCTGAGTGTGCCTCTAGATTCCCTGGATGTTTGAGTGTGCTCTGAGCCTGCAGGGTTGATGCAACCGTTAGACATTCCACATTAGAAATATGATAGAATTTCTATGGATTTTGTGATGAGATTATCTAATACTCCTAGTGGGCATGATGCAATTTGCGTAGTAGTCGATAGACTGACAAAATCAGCATATTTTATTTCGATTAACATCAGTTTTCCTTGTAGAAGTTGGCGGAGATATACATCAGTGTAATTGTGAAGCTGCATGGAGTTCTGTTGAGTATCGTTTCTGATAGAGATATGAGGTTTACATCTAGATTTTGGGAGATTTTGCAAGAAGTTTTTGGTTCTAAGTTGTGGGTGAGTTCTGCCTATCATCCACAAACAGATGGTCAGACAGAGAAAATTATCTAGTCTTTGGAGGACTTGTTGAGAGCTTGCATTCTTGAATAAGAAGGTGCTTGGGATATTCATTTACCGCTGATAGAATTTACTTATAAAATTATTTTTCATTCTTGTATTGGAATGGCTCCTTTTGAGGTATTGTATGGTAGGAGGTGTAAAACACCTTTGTGTTGGCATGAATCTGGTGAGAATGTAGTGCTTGAGTCTGAGATCATTCAATAAACTAATGAGAAGGTGAAGTTGATCTGAGAGAAGATGAAAGCTTCACAGAGTAGGCAGAAGAGTTACCATGATAAAAGGAGGTAGGATCTTGAGTTTCAAGAAGGATACCAAGTATTCTTGAGAGTCACTCCAGTAACCGGTGTCGGACGTGCTTTAAAATCGAGAAAGCTTATTCCTCGATTTATTAGTCCGTATTAGACATCTGAGAGGATTGGGGTGGTCACTTATAGAGTAGCGTTACCACAAAATATTTCAAACTTGCATGATGTATTCCATGTCTCACAGCTTCGGAAGTATGTTACAGATCCGTCGCATGTGATTCCGATGGATGATGTGTTAGATTAATTATTTAATTAATAAAATATAGATTGACATAATTAATTAT